TATTCGATTTCGAATCTTGCAGATTCGAAAACGAATCGAATCGAATCTACTGTGATTCGATTCGATTCGACTCGAATTCGAACTATTCGCACACGTCTAATGTAGTTCTAAGATTAATATAATGCATGACTCACATGTGATAATATTTTTATATTTAGCAGGAAGTAAATAGCGACTATACGATGCTAGAGATATTACTGCTTTTATTACGTTATTATGTGTTACCTTTCTTTTTTTAAGGATAATGCAATTAAAACGAAGACATTTGCGATATGTCTCTATTGTCTCGATGTGTAAAACGAGTATTTTGTGCTTACAGCAAATAAATGTGTAATAAAAATAAGTTTCTAGTAAAACAATAAAAATCTGTTGCGCGATGAGGCTATACATTGTATTCATCTACGTTTGCTAGAAGTGGCATTAACGGGAAGTGATTCTCCTCTTCTAAGATACGATATATGGAAGATTTCACGGAGCAATTATTAGGAACTGTATTCTTATAAGCCGCGCGTGTTACACATCATTTATATACGTCTATCTGACACTGGCATCTAAGCGAGTTGTCGATTAAACATTGCTTACTTGCAATTTATGCATTATACAAGATGTTTTTGATTAATCGCACTTTCTGATGCTAATGCAATTCTAGGTGCGCAAAATTGCATGAGGAAACATCCTGCATGTTAATCTATGTCATTCATCTCTCACAGAGTGTGAAAAAAATCACACTACTTTAAAAAATAACGCTTTAGAGCAGTTAAATTTTTAGGCGCTTCAGAACGAGTTTGATGGTTGTTGCTCACGAGGACGGCTTTTAACGTTACATGACCGTCGCCATTACGTAAATCGCTTCTAATGTTCGCGTAAGACATTTGATTGGTATCTGCGATCAGATTAAAAATTAACGAGTCTCTCTCTCTCTCTCCTTTTATGCCATTTATACGTAATAATTATCCAGGTAACAAATATGTAAGAAATAATTGCAAGAATATTCTAACTTTCTGAACGAATTCCTTTTAAAATTTTCATTTACGTCCTTCAGATGTCTTTTGCGTTTATTTGGAAAGCGAAGTTATTAACAAACTGGAAATATTAAGAAGGTAATCAATTTACTAAAAAAACGGAACGTCCGTGATTTTTTAATTTCTCCGTTATTGAATTACGCGCATCTTTCTAAAATGAGTTTGCCGGATTCCTCATATTCCTGACGCGACAGCCACATTTGCTGGAACGAGCCCAAGGAGCTGAGGATCGAACCGCCGATCCAGGCACCGTAACGCCGCTCGCTCGAGCTGTTCGCGCTTATTATTTTCAGTCTCATGCTCTGTGAATAAAAATTGCGTTTTGCGTCATAAATCCATATAAAGTAGAACGCAGAAGTAATAATAATAATATCATTATGAAATCATATAATATCACAAAGACGTCATTGTAGTTTTATTTTATCACTTATCTAAGTCACAAATAATATAAGAATTGACGTCAATTGATGTCATTTATGACATCTGCTTCTATCTGGGAATATAAAGATTTGGTAACAAATAGTAAGTGTCAATTATATACAAAACAACCTTACCGGTGGGGTCTTACTGGCCAGGTCTCGATTCAGTCTCTCGCTGAATCCCTGAAGACAGGAATTGCCGCCGGTCACCACTACACTGCCATATAGACTCTGCAACACAAATTGTATTATTTATAAATGTTAATGTCTCGCGTCATTTGATAAATAATGCAATAGCGTACATCAAGTTTGAAGCTCGACAAAAAGTGAATATTTTTAATAGGTGTAATTATTTTCTACATTGCAATTGATCAATTTAATGACGAATATACGTTTCATACTGCATTTTATCTTACAATTAATTATCAAATAAATCCATTTTTCTTAAGAACAGAATTTATATAATAGCATGATTAGGTGATCACAGATTCCGTACGCAAAATCGATTTCAAAAATGCGTCAAGAAAAGAGTGTCAATAATTTAACCTAATCAAAGTGCATAAATTTTGTGGATAATATAAATGGTATAAAGATTGAAAAGGTACATACTGGTCTAATGTCCATGTCGCACATTCCGACACTCGTGGTGACCAAAGGGCCAACTCCTAAAATACTCGCGCCTACACCCTTAACGTTACTGGGGTCAAAGAGAGCCTCGGGTATCATGAGCCTCACTGATCCGAAATCGTCGTTGTAGCCGGTCGGAAATTCGAAATGCTTCATAGGCAGAGTGTTCGCCATGTCTTCGTCGTAGGGACTGTCCGACACTTGCAGGCAGTTCATCTGGAAGTCCTGCAGCACCTCTCGCACCATGTAGCTCAGCCAGGACGACGTTGGTTGCGGCCCGGGTCGTTTCGTCCAGCGAGGCGGATCCCTCTCTCGTACTACGTCTAGAAGAAACGTGAATTTGTAAGCAGAAATCTTTGAAAATAATTCTAAAATTGTTCTGTGTTCTGCTTGCAATGTTCTTGTTAAGTTTTTTATTTACTTATAATCTATTGTATTCCAGAGTTTTAATTCCAAATTCTAAATTATGTAAATTTTATTTAGCTAATGAAGACTCTGTGAAGAAATCGTTCTGTCTTTTTATCAATATTACGTCAAAGAAATTTTATTTATTTATCTATTATAACTGCCTTTTAATTTGCGCATTTTTTAACCTTTCAACTTTTATTCATTTACTGCATATCAAGAGTTTGACTTTTAATCATTATCCTAGAATTCTTCGCAGACCGTTGGAATCTAAATTATATTTTTTAACTAATTCGATTAAATCTTCTTTTCTGTGGAAGACAACTATAATAATTAATTTACGTTATTATACATAAATTTCTTTCACACACATATATACATATATTTAAGTTATTTATTTAATAAATAAGTAATATAAATATTATTAAAATCAAAAAGCGGTAATCCGGACAAACACATCTTTTCGCCCGCGTAAATTACATTAACCCTTGGTTAGAGCTTTAAGGACACCCAGACTGTATATAATAATGCTAGGCATTTACAAGCCGTAAAGATAGGGGGGAATCGAATAGGGGCTAAAGAAAGTTTTATACCCCCACTACTAATTCGCCACCACAGCAGTCTCCAAAGGTCAACAGAAAATTTTCCAAAGTCGCAATTTGTCAGCCTATGGCTGTACTATACCCATAGCAAAATCTACTTTTTAAAAATAATTGAAATAATGGTATTTTTTCTTAAAGTACATTCAATTACCTTTAAAAACCCGCTAGAGAAATCTCGTTAACGGTTTTTCCCTCAAAACTACGAATTTAAAAAAAAACCAAAATTAAAAAATTTTCTTTTCCTTTTCTCCTGAATATCTCCTGAATATCTCGAATATTTTCAATTTCTCGATTTTTGCACCATTTATTCTCCTTTCGGACAATTTGACGTACCAATTAAAAAAATTCAAATTCTATGCGTTACATACAAAGATATACGCAATTGAAAACGTTGAGTGTTGCACACCCAGTGCTCCAGAATCGGGAAATACAGATAGTGCTTCAGCTAAGGGTTAAAAAACACAAAGCGATTCAGGCTCCGATAATTAAAATTTAAAATTAATTAATTAATCAAAGCCCGAATCACTTTGTGTTTTTTAATTTAATTCACGCGGATGAAAAGATGTGTTTGTTCGAATGGCCGTTTTTTTATTTTATTAGACATAACTTAAGGGGTCTCACCACCCCCGAGGCCTTAAAATGATACCTAAGTTTGGGATTTTTTTGTGGCTAAATAGATGATTAATTTAAAATGATTTATTTAAAAGCTGTTTAGAGGACATTGCTGTACATATATGAGAAACCAAAAAAATATTTTTATATTTTTTTATGCACAAAATGGCGACGCAATGGTCTACTTCCGGAATTCATTTTTTCAAATCGATGTACAGGATTCCATAGGCACATGGTTTGCTCTTGAACAAAACACAAAGAATTTTCATTATCTACGTACCTACATATTAAAGATTAGAGACGTACGTAGGGATTTTTTTAAATATTGATTTTTATCGAAATGGCAGCTATTTTTATAAGAAGTTCGTATTTTTGTCAATACAAATCTTTCATAAAATAGCTGCGATTTTGAGAAAAATCAATATTTTGAAAAATCCCTACGTACATTTCTAGTTTTTAATATGTAGATAATGAAAATTCTTTATGTTTTGTTCAAGTCCAAACCGTGTGCCTAAAATTCTATACACCGATAG